CCAAACTCAGTCCTGGAGGGCCGGTGTCCTGCAGAGTTTAGCTCCAACCCTAATTAAACACACCTGAACCAGCTAATCAAGCTCTTACTAGGCATAGAAACTTCCAGTCAGGTGTGTTGAGGCAAGTTGGAGCTAAACTCTGCAGGGCACCAGCCCTCCAGGACCGAATTTGGACAGCCCTGGTCTAAGCTAACAGAGTGTGTTACAAATGTAAAAGAATGGATGACCAATAATTTTCTCCTATTAAATTCGGATAAGACAGAGATATTACTTATTGGACCAAAAGACAGTACGCCGAATCTCGTGGATTACAATTTGCAACTAGACGGATGTACGGTTACTTCCTCTACAGTCAAAAATCTGGGTGTTATATTAGATAGCAACAATCATATTTCCCATGTTACAAAAACAGCATTCTTCTATCTTATAAACATTGCTAAGTTACGAAATATGATACCTGTTTCTGATGCAGAAAAGCTAGTTCATGCATTCATGACCTCTAGACTGGACTATTGTAATGCACTGCTAGCTGGTTGTCCTGCATCTTCAATAAACAAGCTACAGATAGTCCAAAATGCAGCGGCTAGAGTCCTTACCAGGTCAAGAAAATATGATCATATTACCCCAATTTTACAGTCTCTGCACTGGCTACCTGTTAAGTTCCGTATCAGTTACAAAATATTATTACTTGCCTATAAGGCCCTTAATGGGTTAGCTCCTGCGTACCTAACTAGTCTTCTACCACGCTACAATCCATCACGCTCCCTAAGGTCGCAAAATTCTGGACTTTTGGTAGTACCTAGGATAACAAAATCCACTAAAGGAGGTAGAGCTTTTTCGCATTTGGCTCCCAAACTCTGGAATAGCCTTCCTGATACCGTTCGGGGTTCAGACACACTCTCTCTGTTTAAATCTAGATTAAAGACACATCTCTTTGGCCAAGCATTCAAATAATGCATCTCATAATCTTTACTGCAGTTATATCTGATCAAATGCACATTATTATTCTTTAGTTTGGGTTAAACAAATACATTTTGCTTGGTTGGAACAGCAGCTACGCTAATTATGTCTCTATTTGTTTCTCTGTTTTTTGCCACGGGATGTAACTAGGATTTACACAAGCTTCAGTCTGGATCCAGAACACCTGAGAAGAGATGATGCAACCCCTCAGAGGACCTCAGATGATGCCAAACCTGAAACAACATACAGAACTACCACATTTTGCTATAAGTTTGATTGCATCATATAATAATTGCTGTTAATATTGTTCATCGTCTGTTTGATTACGTCTTAAATTGATTTTTCCGTACATTTCTGCCATATGTACATTAACTGACAGTCATCACTGATAAGCTACCACTAAATATTGTAGAAACTTAATTTGCTGTAAAGTTGCTTTGCAACGATTTGTATCGTGAAAAGCGCAGTATAAATAAACTTGAATTGAATTGAATTGAATAGTAGACAGCAATCCATATGAGAGAGAGGTCTTGTGTGGAAGGTGGATCTGGAACTGACTTCTGTACAGGTTGTCAACATCTCTTGATTATCTGTCTTCACGAACTGCCCTGAAATACAATTCAAACATTAACAATGATTGTTATAAATGTAACGGGAGGCTCTTACATTCACAATGCTCATTTTGGCCTCTACAGCTCATTTTGGTGGTGAAGTGTGCAAGAAATTCTGCCAGATTTAGTCTTTGGTGAACGGTGTTCAAGAGTGCAAATAAAACTTTGTTTTAAGTACCTTTCAGACTCGCGTGAGGTTTCCACAAGCAACAAAGTCTACTTGAACAAACACTTGACTGCGTTTAAAGTTGAGAAAATAATATTTAAACAACTAAATGGATTTATATAATTTTACCTCAGACTGTAACCCAGAACGCTTCACGTGCTAATTAACTAACAGGAAATTATAAAACTAAACACTGGGAACTTAATAACTTTACAATACAAAACATTATAAGTCTATAGTTACATTTAATGTTAGATTGGCAAATTGACGAATAAAAAAAATTCACCTTCATCGTCCATCCAGCTTGGCAGATGATAACTTTTACAGACTGTTACAGTTTGACGTGAGGCACATTCACAGTACTCTGGTTCTGTCTTACTGTTATTAATTTTAATTTCAAGGAATTTTTTTTATTATCATCTGTGTCTCATTTCGAATTAGGTTGGAGCCCTCTGTAGGTTGTTGAGTATAAAGTGTCCGTAGGGCTGTCGCGGTGAAGGAATTTCCCTTGCGGTAATTTTGAGTGGCTCAATAGCGCGGTATGCGGTATTATCGCCATACATACACACACACACACACACATATATATATATACAGTGGGGCAAAAAAGTATTTAGTCAGCCACCAATTGTGCAAGTTCTCCCACTTAAAAAGATGAGAGAGGCCTGTAATTTTCATCATAGGTATACCTCAACTATGAGAGACAAAATAAGAAAAAAAATCCAGAAAATCACATTGTAGGATTTTTAAAGAATTAATTGGTAAATTCCTCTGTAAAATAAGTATTTGGTCACCTACAAACAAGCAAGATTTCTGGCTCTCACAGACCTGTAACTTCTTCTTTAAGAGGCTCCTCTGTCCTCCACTCGTTACCTGTATTAATGGCATCTGTTTGAACTCGTTATCAGTATAAAAGATACCTGTCCACAACCTCAAACAGGCACACTCCAAACTCCACCATGGCCAAGACCAAAGAGCTGTCAAAGGACACCACAAACAAAATTGTAGACCTGCACCAGCCTGGGAAGACTGAATCTGCAATAGGTATATATGACTCGGCCTGGAGGACAGACGCAAGTAATCGCACGCGCTCAGTCGATTTCTCTCTCAGAAAGTCTGTTTAGGCTTGTTAAGTACAACTCTACGGAGCCTCTGTACAAATCAGCATGGTACACATTATGTTATCATTACTAACTTGTTTAATATTCAGTACACATGCACGAAGTGTAAAACGAGAAGGGCATAATCTTACGAAAAAATAAAACACGCCAAAATCGCGGTTGCTGCGGTTCTTGCATTCCTCTGCGGTTTGCTCGTCAATAGCGCGGTATTGCGATATTGCGGTTATCGCGACAGCCCTAAGTGTCAGTGCAGAGTTAAACAAGATGACCTTGTAGGACATACAGGAAATATTTGATATTAATTTGATTTATTTTTTTAATATTAGATAAACTTTTGAATGTTACTACTTACTAGTCAGATGGTTCATAGCGCCTTGGAGATGTTCTTCAACAGGAGATCCACTCCAGCTCTGCAGCACGGCCATCAGCATGGAAGAATATAGGAACAATTTGTCACGGAGCCAACAATATATAGTATACAATGTCAGGTTTATTACAAATAAACAAACTAGAGCATAGGTGAAATGCAGAAAAGAGTAGTAGTAATATGGAAAACATACAAAAAAATGTTAAAGGGTTAGTTCACCCAAAAATGGTAATTGGCTAGTGTTTTACTCACCCTCGAGGCATCCTAGGTGTACATGACTTTCTTCTTTCAGACGAATGCAGTCGGAGTTATATTAGGGCTGGACAATAATTCAATATCAATATGTATCGCAATATACATTTTTTCAATAACGGTGATATGATTTTTAAACACATTTCCGATATTTCGATATACATTACCAGTTGTATCACTCTAAAAGCGCCTCCTGCTGGCAGAGAATGAGTTTTCATTTTAAATAAGCCCCCGTAAATGGCGCATCATGCACGTGAGGTTATCTGACGGAGAGACGCAAAGCAGTTTAAAGCAGAGTCCTGCACGGGTGCTGTTAGGTAAACCTGCATCCGCAGTACACAACAGAACACCCGACCCGTTATCCGACAGCAGCCAGCACCAATTTAATTCTGTACCCGACCCGCGACCTGAACCGCACCCGCATTAAATAGGCTACTGCATCAGTAAGGCAAAATTATTCATTTCCTCATGTGACACAAGCAATCACACCAAAACAGGCATTTTAAGTTGGTGCTTTGAAGAGAAATAGACAAGCAGCGCAACAGAAGAATGATAAGAATACGCAAACTTCCTGTATACAATACAAACTTTTGCCTACATCTTGTGAACAATCTGCCAGGCTGTTTTGAACAAATGTGCATAAACTACATACTTAAATCTTCATAAATGAAAAGAACATATTTAGATATGACTTTACTGTTAAGTGCCATTGTCTCCCTTAAACTCTGCAGTGTATAGGCTATGCGGCCGTTAGTCCTTTACAGAAGCATTAAAAATAAATCTTAAAAATAAAATGATATAGGCTACAGAAAGCGAGCAACGAGAGCTCCCAAGCTGTCATTCACTTCAGCTGCAGAGCGAAT